GAAGCGTTCGTAACCCGAGGTTCCACTGTAGTTGAACTCAAGCACAAATTGAACTATTATGACACAGTGATTCTTTCTGATTTTAAGGAATTTGTTGTCATAGGAAAAGGTTTATATGGCTTTAGGTCAACATTTCTCTATCATGGCAACTTCTAGATACATGGATCTAAGTTCCAGAATTCTCCAACCACACGGTAATTACAGAGAATTCTGGGTACTGAACCTTACACAACTGAAAATTGCTATGGTTGGGAACACTGCATTAGATGAAGTTAAACAAATTAATACAGAAGCCTAAACAAAATCTCTTTATTAGGGAACACACAAAGAGCTTGTTTCCAGGTTTTATAAAGGCACAACCTGGATGAAGATTAGACAATGGAATAGTTCGATGATTAATCTAAGTGCAGTTTCTCTTCTCTTCTTCTCTACAGATACTATTTATATTGTACCAATGATACATTATCTTTCACTGATACATTATCTTACCTTTGCCATCTGTGCTTGAACCCCAGTGGCTTTCAGGGCAGATACGGCTTTCTGAGCTGCAGCTGGACTATCAAAGTCCACAAAACCATAACCTGAAATTTAAAACAATTTTGTTTAGTAAGAAATGTTCACTTTTCATTCTACTTAAAGGCACAGAGTTGGAGTCTTATTATAACATATGAATATTTTATTTTATCCTCATAATGATCTCATTAGAAATTACAGATATGGATTTAATCAATGCCATTCAGCAAATGTCATGCCTGAATTGAAGATCTGAAGCTGGTTCTCCTACATCCTAGCTTTCTTAGAAGCTTATAAATAGTTATGCAGGCCTTAAACTTATTTCACCTTCACTTTTATTGATATGGACTTTGGAGGCAAGAGTAGATGAAGCCCGAGTACTTTTGAGTCTTCTGTATGGTGCACAGATAGGACTCTATAAAAACATCCCACTGATGGAGTTTCTTCAGCCTAAGTTGTTGAGAAATATTTTCCAGGTACCACAATGTGTACCCAATGTTACTCTCCAGCTGGAAGCTGTTATATTCAGAATTGATATGATGATGATACCCTGAACTACTGGTCAGAAACAGTCTTCTACCTAAGTGGTCTGGTCCCCCGATCTCTGATAAATTTATCAGCAAATGGAAAAACTCCATCTTACATAAGTTGAATCATTGTGGCTACTCTCTGGAAGCCATACTAGTCTTAGGTTTTGGTCAAGCCAAAGCCAAGCTAGGAAGCTGAATCCTATGGCCAGTAGAGGTCTATTTGGGTGCTCAGCCCTTTAACCTTAGTCCAGCCAGATACCTGAGGCAGATTGAAATATTCAAATATAAGCGTGTGTGTGTGTATGTGTGTGTATGTATATGTATGTATGTGTGTGTGTGTGTATATATATATATATATATATATATACACACACACACA